ACCCATTGATCCGTCCATAACATACCCGACGCGCCGACTAAGAGGTATTTTTTTTACAAAAAAATAACTCAAAAAGAAACAAAATATTTGTCACGACATTGGTAGTTAGTTGGCGGTATATGGTCTGGCTTTTGGGACCCATTTTCGGCACACTGTATCATGCAGGGGCGTGGAAAGCACGTACATATCCCCAGAAATCCCGGAAAAAAGAAACTGAACGGCGAAAACGCATGGGAGCACACCATCGAGAGACAACTGTCTGAAAACCTCGAGCTTTATTGATTGCAATAGAAAATATTTGCAAGGAGGTGTAATATATACAACGCTTTACTGTGTCTGTCCATTAAATATATATTATAAACCTCCTATCTTATAAATCTGGAATTACAAAGATTTATGTACACGATTTAGACTACAAAAATTTATAAATAACACCTCTACAATATGCCACACAAGCCGGGACGGAACGGATTTAAATGAGGCTTTAATTTGTGCAAAGCCTCTGGAGAAAATAAGAACGCGAGTTGACTTTTCAAGTGAAAGACCCTGTACCTAGACTCCTTTTGAAATATCCAACAGACAGCGAAAAAATAACAAAATTGAGCTCAATCCAATGTTAAGGCCCGCGCACACAGTAAAACACCTGAAAAAATTATTGCTTTGTGTAATGTTGCACAGTGTGTCCAGGCCTTAACAGTGCGAGCGACCGACAATACGCCAAAGGATAATATTTATCAGACGCTATTCAGAATTCTTCTATTGAAATACACAGAGTAACTAAACTAAAAGGCGACAAGGGTTTCCTTCACTGATTTCACACTCGATTTTCGACAATATTTGTTGAAAATTTGTTTACATGAAAGCTTGCTGCTTTTTAGTTTCAACTCAAATATTCACAAACCGATAGTGCTGCAGAGAGAGCAGCAATATTTTTTGGATATATCCGCGCTGCGTATTTCACTAAAAGATGAAACACATTGTCCCTACCTACAAACAAATATACTGTTCAGACTATCTTTACATCCAAGCTGTTTCTTTCCGCTCTACCCCAGGTGCAAGAGGAGAACAAACAGGTACTGACTGCGTGTATGCTGGGTAATGTAACAAACTCAAAAAAGTAGCTCTAAGGCGCCATTGCATCTAAAGACCACTATGTCAAAAAGTACGCGTATGAATTGAAGTAAAGGATATTTTTACCGGCATATAAAACTGGACATTTAGAAAATTTTGAATGTTGGGGGGCGGAAAACAAGCAGAGGATAATACGCTTCATTCGTTGCTTGATAAATCTTGGTCTCAGTTTTCACTACTGCTATTTGTTTTCGTACGAAATCGACCATAAAGTAGCTTCTCACACATATTTACCTTTACTCGCCAACTTACGAGACGAAATCTATTTACAGATGGGCGAGTTATTTCGAAACACGAATACCAAAATAGATCGATACAGAGGACTTCACAAACGAGTAAATAATTATTCGTTTTCTACACTGAAATCTGTCTTCCAATATGATTATTATTTCAATTTGATTTTCTAATGTTGGAACCTATGTGGTCCAGAATATTTATGAAAATAGATTCTTTTAAAACACACGACAATACTCTCTGATCGCCTTCAGCCAAATGCGATAACTCCAGGCCATCTGCAAGAAACAAAAAAAGAAATTAATATACAGTAAGAGTCAGTCCCTCACTGGATCTTTGAGGACCTGTAGGACCACCGCACTATGCCCACTCGCCTATTAAACTATGATTGACTTGTGACATCTTTCAGTCGGTTTTCCAAACGTCTCAGCCAATCAAAACGCAAACAACACCACGTGGACAGCACGTGTCATTTGCCGACTACGAGTTCTCTAAGAGATGCGTGCTTCCTCATAGGGTAAGAAACGGAATAAGAAAAACAAAATCGAGATCGTGCTGTTGATTCCCGTTTCAACGGTTATCTTAGTGAGACCATTCAGCAATAACTAATACCAAACAACAAATACTGCTATATAAGTGTCAGAAGCAAATCTTGTTTTGTATTCTTACCCTAGCAGGAGGAGGACTGGAGATGAGCCAAGTTTGCCAGATGTTCTCGCCTCAGCCTCCTGGTGTCCACAGTCATGTCTTTCATCTCCAAAGGTTGCGGAGTTGTCCGCTTGCTGGTCAGCGGTTGCGCCGGCGGCACGTGCGTCACGTGATTACTCATTAATGCAGCCGCTGCCCTCTCTGCCGCAGTCTGTCGTGACTCATAATCGGTACTATCTTGAGAAGACTGTGAATCGTCACGAAACTTTGGTAAGGATGGTCTCCTTCCTTGGAGCGAATCTCTCCTTCCCATTTCAGCTGCAAGTTGATCGGCGTGATTTACTTTGTATTCACCATTTCTCAATGGTGCAGGTCTATTACTAGATGAACTTGCAGATAAATCAACATTGGAAACTCTCAACTGTGCTTGATCAGTTAATCTATCATTGTGAGTTCTACCTACTGCAGTAATCACACGATTAGTTCTTAAGTCTGTACTACTTTTCAACCTTCGTCTTTCTCTGACATGCGCAGCGTCCTCCTCATCACTAGATCCATTCTCCCTCAACCTCGGTATGGACTTTGATCGGTTATACCCAACAGACCGAGAGCCATTTTGAAGGGCTGGATCCTGGCTCTCACTCCGGCTCCTTCTCTGAGGCCGTCCTCGCGAAGTGCCATCCTCGTTCAGGGACCTCCCTCGCTGTAACCCGTCTCCATTGATATTAGAATGATTGGTACCGTTCATAACAGGCTCGTAGCTTTGTTTCGGTGTACTTGTTGAAATCTGCTTTGGAGTCCTTGCTGCATCTTCAATGACTCGACGTTGCTGAACAGGGAAGGCAATGACACTGCCCGCTGGATTGGAACTGGACGCCCATGAGCGCGGATAACCATTTGGAACGGCTTGTCTAGAATTTGAGCTGGTCACCGAGAGATCCACACTCCGGTGACTAACCGGGTCTTTCCATGAACGTTGCCCGACAATGTCCGAGTAGCTATCGATGTCCGAATCTGATGGATCGGGTAGCGAAGAATTCCTCGAGTGATCCACGACGGATGAAGTTTTAGATTGTGTCTTAGAACTGCGAACATGTCCGTTGAAACTGGAATATGCGCTGGTTGTGTTTGAATGATTTCTACTTGCAAGTAAAGGCTGTGATTTGGAAAGAGCTCGTAAGCTTCTTCTTTCGGCTTCTTGAACTCTCGTTAAATTATACAACTCACTCGAAGGTTGGGCCTCAGATTTCACTGGCCTTGCGGTGATACTGTTCTTGGCCCTCATACTAGAGCCCCCTATACTCTTCACATCACGAGAAGGAACCTCTGTGTCATAAGTCATGGCATCAAGGTCTGACTCCATTGAAGCTGACTTGAGAGACAGGTTGGAGATGACAGTTGAAGCTGAGTGAACCTTGGACAGTTTAAATGTTGGGTCTTCCTTTTCAGCTGGGTTCTCTGAATCTGAGGGGAAAAAAAGCCACAGGTCATGTAACACGTGCAATGCTGAATCATTCACACTTGTGACTTAGTCACACAATCCTCAGCTACTGCGAGTAAAGTAACATTGCGTGACCACCAAAAGATATGCTACCTATAACTATCTTTCACATTCTTTAAAGGACTATTTCAGTTTTCAAATCACAGATTATAGAAGCCAAGTGTTTAGACATGTGACGATAACTCGAGGCAAGCAAGGAACTATTTATCACAAATCTTTGCCTCCAAACTCCCTAGATTCGAGGTACACAGTACAAAAATTCACTAGATCAATCTTTCAGTGCTAGTCTTCAATCTAAGGTAATTTTGCACATCGTAAACCACGGTACAATTGCTTTAATGTAAGTTCTCAGAATGTCATAGTACATTACGACAATCATTAACCTAAATGACGAATTTTCTTCTTTTTTGCTGTTGGATGCTGCTGCCAAGAAGAACTTGCACTAAAAACACGGAAAATTTGATTGCTTCCCAGACTTTCCATTCCGCACTTGACTGGCCAAAATATGAACACCATTCCGTTGGTTAGCTTTAGTGCTTTGCAAAAGGTGTGTAAACACAGGCATTTTTTAGCCATGGACGTCAACCGTACTTCTGGCGCGTTTTCACCCTCCCTTCCTCCAATCCCCGCCTCAACTAATTAGTTGGAAAGCTCTCATTTTCAATAAAATTTACAACTTGACGTCGATAATTCCGCGACGAAGAAGAGAAAATTCGACCTCCGATTCACGAACGTCTCTCAAAAGAGTATGTGCTTAAGCGCTCTGATCATCAGACCAAACGCATCAATACTCCCTACTCATTGAAGGCTTATAACTGACGTGCTTACCAGTCAAAGCACACAAAGCTTGTACTGTGCACTGCACAGCTCGTCTACTGTTGGTCTTGCCGGATCGCAGCAT